AATCCCACAAAAGTCTGTCATCTAGAATATATTACAAAATGACTAAGCATCAGTTCAATATGAAAATTGGAAAGGAAGGCTGCCTCAGTGGACTGGCAAACAAACCACTCTTGATTTTGGCTCAGGTCATGATTTCAGGGTAATGGGATGGAACCCCACATCGGGTTCCCTGATCAGCAAGAAGTTTGCTTCCTTCTCTCCCTCTGCCCTACCCCCGCCACTCATGGTCGCATTTCTCAAATAAATAAAATCTTTTTTTAGAAAGAAAAGAGTGGTTTTCTAGCTTATAAATTATCTCAATTTAAACTTTTTTTTTTTTTTTTAAGATTTTACTTATACAACAGAAACAGAGAGGACAAGGAGGCAAAATGGCAGGCAGACAGAGAGGGAGAAACAGGCTTCCTGTGGAGGAGGAGCCCCAAGCAAGGCTTGATCCCAGAAGTCCTAGGATCATAACCTGAACCAAAGGCAGAGGCTTAACCAACTGAGCCACCGCGGCGCCCCTCATTTTTTTTTTTTAATTGCAGGCTTACAGGAATTGTGAGACACTTGTGAAATCTGAGTAACTTGAGCAAGAACTATTTATTGTATTAATCATATTGAGCTCCTTTTTTTCTTTTTTTAAGTTTCTTTTTTTTAGTAATCTGTACACTCAATATGGGGCTCAAATTCTCAACTCTGACATCAAGAGTTGCATGCTGGGGGCGCCTGGGTGGCTCAGTGGGTTAAAGCCTCTGCCTTCGGCTCAGGTCATGATCCCAGGGTCCTGGGATCAAGCCCCACATCGGGCTCTCTGCTCAGCGGGGAGCCTGCTTCTCTCTCTCTCTGCCTGCCTCTCTGCCTACTTGTGATCTCTCTCTGTCAAATACATAAATAAAATCTTAAAAAAAAAAAAAAAAGAGTTGCATGCTCTACCAACTGAGCCAGCCAGGTGCCCCTGAACTCCATTTTTTAACACAGGCCAATACTTAGCTCTGTCTCTTTCTAAGGGGACACAATTCAATAGAACGCTGAATCTAAATTAACTAGATACCATTAAACACTGTATTTAATTTTATTAACCAATTCATTTTTTAAAGTTTTTAGCTTTCCTTAGCCATCTACTATAATATTTCCATGATTTAATAGCTTTTAACAATTAGGGGTCCGTGATTCATCTCTTTAATGTGACAACCAGATAATGGTGCAATGTAAGTTTTTGAAATAGGTTCCATTTCCACCAGTTACAAGCGCAAAGTAGAAGAGTTTCAATATTTGCTTATTTTATGTACACTTTACCTTATTTCAAAAAAGATTTGAGACAAGGAACATGTGTTCAGAAAATATATTTTTCAATAAAATACAGAATGTCAGCACACTGTTTTAATCAAAATATTGTTGCCAGTGTTCTTTAGCTTTCCTCATCAAATGTTAAGCTAACTACTTTGCAATTTCACTGAAGACATTTTGGGGGGTGGGCCACAAACCGTATTTCTCTGCTGAAAATAACTCATTGAACTGGGATGTATTTTTATTTCAGTAAGAAAGTAATCAGACCAAACACCTAAGTAATTTTGAAGGTGGTACCTAAAGAAAGGAACTTATCCAAAAAAAGGAGGGGGGAATCAGGATTTAATTTACACATAAATTAAGCTGCTGACTATTTGCTCTATGTTGAATTACCCATTTCAGAAAGGTATTCACAAAACTCCTTTAATTAGTTGTTCCTCATAATCTCTTATAAACTAATTGCATTTTCTTCTTCTATTTTCAGGATCCTGTTACTATCAGTCACGAAGGTAACTACATGAGATATTAGAAAATAAATACAAAGCCTCTCTATAGTATTTTAACTACCTAGGTGCTTGCACTATTCTCAAACAAAAAATATTTAAAGAAAACTCTGCTGTGCATCATTAGGCACAAAAATAAAACAACTATGGAGTTGTCTCAGTCTAACAGCACAGGTTACTTGGAATATTAGGCTACATCGCTAGCATTCATTTTAATTAAAGAAAGAGGACTTTATCATTATGTATATATAATTGAGGAAGGGATATACCATAGTCCTATGTTGAAAGAAGTCAAATTTTCCCAAACTGAGCTGTAAATTTAACAATTCCAATTTAAAAACAAGATTTAAAAATTGCAGTTAAAAAAACAAGATTACTTAGGGTCTTAAAAAAAATTTTAAACTACACCTTTAAGTAAAAATGTGTAAAAGCCAATAAAGTTTGGAAAAGAATGAGAGGTTTGCCTCACCAGTAGTAAGGTAATAAACTTAATTAAAACAGTGGATACTAGTACAGGAACAGATCAATGAAATAGCACTGGGAGCACTGGGAACCTTGAGACATATGTAAGTATACAGAAGAATTTAGTCTATAATAAAAACAGTACTTCAAAACCATGGAACAAATAATAATCAATCAAATAATAACCAAATAATAATCCACTAAGTGATTCGAGGACAAGTGCTAAATATTTAGGTGAACCTAAAATTAAGGGTCTGGCTCTCATCATACCACGAAGTAAAATGAGTACATCACATGATAAAATGTAAAAACAATACAAAACAAAGAAAATTCAAGAAAAAACAGATGTTAACTATATAATAATTGGAGAAAGAGATATAAAATTACACAAATCAGAAACATTTTTTAAAAGCCCTGCAAACCCAAAACACAGGCACACATATTTTTCTCCATGTTAAATATATGAACATAGTTGAGAGACCAAAAAAAAAAAAAAAAAAAAAAGCTAGGGAAAAAAACCTGCAACCTATCACAGAAAAACAATCTTCATATCAAGATTAATGGGGCAATGGATTGCAGCACAAAGGATTATGAGTATATAATTTACAACTAAATGTAACCAGCATGACAATATATGAAAAACATTCAATGGAACCAGTAATTATAGGAATGAAAATAAAAGACAGAAAACAGCGAAGAGCCTGATATTTTATTAAGGGGAAATGGGTACCATCATATATTGTTACCAGGACTATGAACAGATACAACTTTCTACAGGGCAGTATGTATCAAAGTTTAAAATGCACAGGCTTCCGGCCCAGTAATTCCTCTTTCAGAGGCATAAACTAAGGACATCCTCTCTCAAAATATACACAAATGAATCCACCACAGTGTTGTTTGTAATCTCTATGAATTGACAACCTACATGCCAACTAATAACAACAAATACATATTAGTACCTCCTAAACAAAATGTCACCATCTATTTAAAATGATGCAGAGATCATACATTTATTGACATGGAAAAAAAATGGTCGTAACACTTTACATGGAAACTCCATGTGAACAGGTTGGGCAAACCCTGGATGTCTTGTTCTGCAACCTTACTTCAAGTACCTAAACAGTGCCTCGTACAAAAGAGCTTCCCCAAAAGCATTTACTAAATAGATTAATTTTAAAAGCAAGCTACAGAACAATAATCATGTCGACTCCCCTTTCCTCTCTCTCCCTCCCTTCTCTCTCTACAGGCGCGCGCGCGCGCACACACACACACACACACACACACACACACACACACGGAAGGGCAGTCACAAAGGTTAACAAGGTAATGGAGTTTTGGTGTGTGTGTTTAACTTTCTTCTTTATTCCCCTCTGTATTGTCTAAATTCCTTATATAGTAAGCATTTTTTTTTTAATTTTTATGATTGGAAAAAAGTAACAAAATTGATTTTTAAGAACACATACATTAAAAAAAAAGAACTCCACAATGTGTCCAGCGACAACAGCTCACAAACTACAGAAACTAGTATCAGCAATATTCAAATTGGTATGTCTTCTACAATGTAGCATGTTTCTCTAATACCAGGAAAGGCCACTCCATACTAACAAAATGCAGAATTTCCAAAAGAAAAAAAGCACATTTTTTTCTGTAGTAAGAAAGGGGGGTAAAGCAACAGATTTCTTAAACGTCCTTCCATCCCCTCTATTAACACATACCCTCTTCTAGTTGGTGATAAAGATTACTACGTATAGTCATTTTTTTTCTTTTTCAGGATAAAATGCCAGTAAGTCCACATCAAAAAAGTGCTCTATGCAATTCTTCCATTTCTTCAGAAAAACAGATTTTATTTTAAAGACATTTAAAAAACTGAAATATCAAACCAGCTACATACTCTGTCATTATTCATCCCACCACCGTTTTTATATTATTCACAGACTTTATTACGATATGAAATAACCTTTTTCGAATTTTTATTATCTTTCTCTCCCTTCTAGAATGTAAGCTCTATGAGGCCAAGAATTCTCTCCTCCTCACCACTGTGTCCCCAGTGAATGGCATCTAGTAGGCCTCAAGGAGTTATTTGTTGAATAACGAAAAAGGGGTGTGTGTGCGGAGGGGACAAATTAAGTAACACTATAAATAAGGAATTGGAGGAAAGGAAAGAAAACCACAATGAAATGTACAAGCTGACATGACTCAAGGCTGTAACATCAGCCCGGAGGTTTGGTGGACATTTTTAAGCTGGACAGGTGCTCCACACCTTATCTAAAAGCATAGCGCTCTTCCAGGAAGAAGAAAATCCACAGGGAGGTCTCCGAGTAGCTATGTGCAGCTCCCAGTAGAGTGGGAACGATCATCATCATAATAGAAATGTCGTCCAGGTCGAAAAAACAGCAACAGCAACAACAGACTATACATCTTGGCCCAGATGAAAAATCAAACGAATTCCCAACACAATGAAATCAAGCAAGCAACCTTCCTCCCGGCACGTAGAAAGAGCACAGTCTCCTTCCCCCCTGGCTGTGCAGTCTCCCGCAGCCCAGCAAAACGTTTCCCTCACTCATCACTTTTTCCCCTCAAGGACCCCCGCCCCAGCTGGTCCAAGGGGAAAGGGAATGGGGGGAACCGTATGAGAATTAGCTTTCCCCACCCCCACCCGAACCCAATGCTCTCCAAAGCGCAATGCTTCCCACCTTCCACCCTCTCACCCCGTGGCCCTGGCCCCGGACCCCGAGCCAACGGCTCCTCCAGCAGCCCCTCACTCACGTGTAGATGATGGCCATGAAATGCATCAGCCACAGCACCAAGAAGAGGATGAACCCGAAGACGGCCATTCCCTCCAAGGCCAGGTCCAGCAGCGCCATCCCCCGGCCCGGCCCGGCCCGCTCCGGCCGCCGCCGCGGACCGCGCTCCCGCAGGAAGACAGGGTGGGCGCCCGGCGCGGGGGCGCAGGAGGGGAGAGGAAGGTGGGGAAAGGAAGGGGCGGAGGGGGGTGGGGACGGAAGGGGCGGGCAGGGCCTGCGCGCCCCGCCCGCGCGCACTCGTTCGCGCTCGGTCCTGGGCGCGCTCGCGACTGCGGGCGCTGCGGTGGCCGGGCTCCGTGGTCAGAGCGGCCGCGGCCCGCGCTCAGGCTCGCCTCTCCACACCCTCGCGGTCGCCGGCCGGACCCTGCGCGCCTGCGCCCCCGATGCCAACGCCCCGCCGCCTCGCCGTCCGGCCCCGGACCGCACAACTCCACACCCTGCTCCGCCGCCGCAGCTCCGCGCACTAATCGAAACCGGCGGCCAGCGCTCCGACTCCCCGGCGCGCCCCGCCCCGCCTCCGCCCACCGGAACGGCGGCGCCCGTCCCTCTAAGGGGCGGTGCGCGCCGCGGCTCCCCGCCCACCCCGGCCGCCCGCGCGCCCGCTGCGTCACCGTCACTGTCGGGAGCGCGCCCCCGGGAGGCTTCTGCTGGACGCGAGCCTGCTTTCCCCGCGGGCTCCGGTCTCCGGTCTCCGGCCGCGCCTAACCCTCGGCGTCGGGCGGCGGCGCCCCGGGGAGGCCAGCACTGCGGCGCCGCACCGGCCTCCCTCGGCGGTGGCGGCACGTGACCCTGTGTCCGGCCCGAAGGCTGCTTGCCCTCTGTCGGGCTCCAGTGTTTCCCGGCGCCCCGCAGAAAGACACGGAGTTCTAGGCGGCCGCCCCGGTTGTCTCGAAATCCAGCTTCGAAAGCTGTGTCTGCCACTTCTCCGGCCCGCACTACTCGGAGAGGCTTCGGCCGTCCTCCAAGCCACGTTCCTGGGCGCTTGGCTGTCCCATTGCCTTCCTCCCTCACTGCTTTTAATGCTGTGTTGTCTTGGATCGCAACCGACCCGAGAGCAAAATAATCTTATTCCTCCCAGATCTGTAAGCACCATGGAGACAGTGTATGGTGTAAGAGAAATCCTCAACTCGGAATGTAAGGAATCAGTTAATATCAAAGTCCTCTAAGGCTGCTGTCCTATACGTTTGCCATACGGGGCTATTGAGCCCTTAAAGTGTGGCCGGTAGGTATTGAGGCGCCCTGTGCGTCTAAACCATACACAGGATGTCAAAGACCACCTCCTGAATAAATTTGTTTTGATGACATGTCGAAACAATATTTTTGATATATTGGGTTAAATTAAAAAGTATTAATTTCAGTTTTTGTTGTTTTACTTCTTAAATGCGGCTAGTTACCAGAAAATTTTAAATTACACATGTGGACAGCTCTGCTCTAAAATGTAAAGAAGCGGTGGCGCTTTGGATAGTAAGTTAACTTGGCCTTTATCTTAATTTTAAATCAGTTCAGGGAGATGTTTTAATCTCGTACTAAATGTTTCTGTTTGTTTCTTTAGCCTGGATGAGTTTATATTGTTTCTTGATTGTTTTATGTTTAGACAGTGTTTATTATTTCAAGTGATTTCCTTTAAATAATCCATGACCTCCCTTGAGAGATTTCAGAATTGAATTCAATTTTGAAAAGAAGTTGGTTACTTTATCCTTGCTATTTATTGTGTTTGATATTGATTAAATGAACTACCTTAATTTACAGTTTAAACAGAATCAGAATCAGCTTTACAGTTTAAAGCTAGGGTCAGAGAAGAGTTTAAATCAATGTCTGTACTGAGAAACATACTGCATTCACTATACTCTTTTACTGGGGTAAAGTCAGTAAGAAAGAACAATGTTTACAAATGAAACTTCTGTTCAGAGTTACTGGTTAATGAACTAAAGTTATAGCGGGTTAGAATACTACCAGCAAACTAACTACAAATGGAAATTTTCAAAACATCAGCATTGTAGTTCATTAATTCTAGGATTCACTTTAAAAAGAAAAAGATGTAGGGGCACCTGGGTGTCTCAGTGGGTTAAGCCTCTGCCTTCAGCTCAGGTCATGATCTCAGGGTCCTGGGATCGAGTCCTGCATCGCGCTCTCTGTTCAGCGGAGAATCTGCTTCCTCCTCTATCTCTCTCTCTGCCTGCCTCTCTGTCTACTTGTGATCTCTCTCTGTGAAATAAATGAATAAAATCTTTAAAAAATAAAAAAATAAATAAAAAGATGTTATCTATCTATCTATCTATCTATTTATTTATTTATGAGAAAGAGTGCCCATGCCAGTAGGGGGAGGGACAGAAGGGGAAGAGAGAATCTCAAGCAGACCCCATAATGAGTGCAGCAGACTCCTACCCCCTGTGCAGGGCCTTGATCCCACAACCCTAAAATCTGAAGCTTAATCTGAATCTGAAGTTTAACCACTGAGCAACCCACATATCCCTAGGCCTCACTTTAAAAAATACTTTAGCATAGGGCACCTGAATGGCTCAATTGATTATGTCCCACTTTTGGTTTCAGCTCAGGTCATGATCTCAGGGTTGTGAGATTGAGCACCACCTCCTTAAGATTCTCTCTCCCTCCAACCCTCTCCCTTCTTAAAAAAAAAAAAAAAAAAAGCAAAAAACACCACTTTAGGGGCACCTGGGTGGCTCAGTCGGTTAAGAGTCTGCCTTTGGCTCAGGTCATGATCTCAGAGTCCTGGGATCAAGCCCAGCATTGGGCTTCTCCCTCTGTCCATGCCCCCCACCCTACGCTCGTTCACTCTCTCTCAAAGAAATAAATAATTTTTTGAAAAAAGAAAAAGAAAACCCAATTTAACACATTTTAACATTTCTTTTTTCTTTTTAAGATTTTATTTATTTGACAGAGATCACAAATAGGCAGAGAGGCAGGTTGAGAGAGAGGGGGAAGCAGGCTCCCCACTCAGCAGAGAACCCGATGCGGGGGCTCAATCCCAGGACCCTGAGACCATGACCTGAGTCTAAGGCAGAGGGTTAACCCACTGAGCCACCCAGGTGCCCCTATTTTAACATTTCTGAAAAGGAAATGTATCTCATAGTAACACTAAATGGTGGATGTTTTTTTCTTGATCATATGTAAATAACAATGCTTCTTACAATGAATGCCCTCTTAGATTCAGTGAACTGTATCAATTTGGTCAATTAAAGCATTGTGTTATATTCTGCTTTTCTCCAAAGTATGAATGACATGGAAAATGAGGCCAAGAAAGGCGAAAGAAGCACATATTCCTATGATTTAACACAATTGGTATGCTTGAGGGGCGCCTGGATGGCTCAGTGGATTAAAGCCTCTGCCTCCGGCTCAGGTCATGATCCCAGGATCCTGGGATCGAGCCCCGCATCGGGCTCTCTGCTCGGCGGGAAGCCTGCTTCCTCCTCTCTCTTCTGCCTGCCTCTCTGCCTACTTGTGATCTCTCTCTGTCAAATAAACAAATAAAATCTTAAAAAAAAAAAAAGAACAATTGGTATGCTTGAGTATAATCAGTAGATTAAAGGTCAGCTATATTGTACTTAGGCCTAGTTAAACTCTGTCTTATTCAAATCATTCTATAGTATCTATAGAATATTAGGATTACGTATTCTAAAATGAATATGCATGAATATGTAACCCAACAGTCCACAGATACTGTAAAGGTGTACATTTCTTCCACATAGCTCAGCAGCATAGGAATCTAACAAAGATCGTGTCCAATGGTCTTACTTTTTGGCAGTTAACTTTTTTTATTTTATTATTTTTTTTTTTTTTGGTCGTCTGAAGAGCCCTCCTCTCTTTTAGAAAACTAATTTCACCAAGGTCAGGGCTTCTGATTCTCTCCAGGGACAAACCAGTAGCATTAGCATGTATTAGAATTCACGTACTTTGAGGAGCAATATTTTCAGAGACAAAATTCAAATATGACTGTCATTTAATGGCCCTAGATATTTTAGTTTATAAAACCTTAACAAGAAAAGAATTCAAAACAGCTTGTTAAAACCAAGTACTTAGAACACATTTTTGGCTTGAACCAAACCCAAACCAAAATATTTAGCTGATTAGAAACTGAAACTGAAATGAAATTGTATTGGTTCTAGCTCCATGTCCCAGAAGAGATAGTGCAGAAGGCTGGGAGAACACAGGTACACAAGTTACTCCAGAGAAACAAAACAGTTTATCTTTGGCAAGTTGATACTTAGTTACATTTTATTCCCACAGCCTGTATTTAAAAGTTGGTGTTCCATTTTTTTAAAGTTACATTTTCAACAATCAGGATTCCTGGTTTGGGTTGTATCTAAGAAAAACACCATCTTTGGTGAGACCCTAGATAAATCAAGTGTAAAATGTGGCACTGAAAGGCTATGCACAAAAAAAAAAAAAAAAAAAAAAAAAAAAAGACAAAGAAATTACACCAGATGATTATAAGTATTTGTCTTTGAAGAATGAAATGTGTTAATATTTTTTACCTGTCTTTTTATGTTGTTGATTTCCTATAATGAGCATTATTGATTTTATGGTGAAAAATGGCCATTTTTCTGTTGTACAAAGGAGTTGATAAAAACCAAGTAGAAATTTCTCTCTCTTTTTTTTTTTTTTTCCAAATTATGAGTGGCACAGTCACTTTGGAAGATAGTTTGGCAGTTACTTACAAAACTAAACATACTCTTACCCTACGATCCAGCAATCACATCCTTGGTATTTACCCAAATGAGTCGAAAACACAACCACACAAAAACCTGCACACAAATGTTTGTAACAGCTTTAATCATAATGGACAAAATGTGGCAGGAGCCATGTCCTTTGGTAGATGAATGGATAAACTGTGGTATGTCCAAACAATGGAATATCACTCAGCACCAAGAAGAAATGAGCTATCAAGCCATGAAAGACATGAAGAAAGCTTAACTATTTATGACTAAGTGAAAGAATCTTTCTAATTATATGACATTTTGGGAAAGGCAAACCTATGAAGACAGTAAAAAGATCAATGGTTGTCCAGGGAGGAGGCTAGGGATGAAGAGGCAGATCACAGATTTTTAAAGCAGTGAAACTATTCTGTACAATTCTGTAATGGTAGATACACGCATTATACATTTGTCAAAACCCACAGAATTTACAACACCAGGAGTGAATTCTAATATAAACTGTGGACTTTGGGTGATAATGATGTGTCAGTGGAGGTTCATCAGCTGTAACAAATACACCATTCTGGTGGTGGTGTTGATAGTGGCGGAGATGGTGCATATGTTCGGGCAGGGGGTATATGAGAACTGTCTGTAATTTCTGCTCAATTTTGTTGTAAGCCTAAAACTCCAGAAAATAAAATCTATCTTCTAAAAAATCAGTAAGTACTCCACTCAAAAATATATTGAAAATGTTGTAAGCTAGTTTGTCATCAAACACTAGGGCTTTGCACCTTCTAGTCCCTCAAAAATTTGTTGAA